GGAGGTTCCTGAATAAAATTCATGGCCGTATGGGATAGGGCGTGTAGGGGGATGTCAGGGGTATCTAAACAGGATTTTTTGGGAATACTGAAGGTATATTGGGGCACGCACCCCAGTACAGAGTAACTTAGTTTTTCCCCTTCATCAAATCAGCCGTGAGAGTCTATACCTTAGGCTCGGCATGGACTTCTGGAATCTCACAAGCATTTACGAGGCATGCCTAATCAGGGGCTAGTTCCCACAGTTAGCACGTGTTGTTTCAGCCCAAGCGACAAGCAAAGCCAATCAGCTGCAAAATGGCCACTGCGAAAGCAGTAATGACACCGTGACGCAAGACATGGACGCTCCTCCAGACAGATGGATGGTATGAGGTGCGCTGGTGGCTGTGGTTCTGCCTTACCTGAGAAGCTCTGACGACTCAAAACAAGAAGATGGTCTTGGAGGCTTTTCCCAGGCTCAGTTGGGATATCAAATATCCCAAATATGATATTCTGTAAATTCACTATATGTATTACATATTTGTGCACGAACATCCACGTATGTATGAACATGTGGTTGTGTGTCTTAAGAGTCTTAGGTATATAATGTATATATATACATATATATATATACGTGCTATCCCCCAAAACTAAAATTACAAATATAATGGAAACATAGAATAATCATAAAAAGGCAAAACACATGACAACTAAACATGAAAACACGAGGAAAACGAACGGGACAGAAACAAAAACAAAACAACAACAACAACAACACCCCAAGATAACGGAGCAACATTTACAGTGCTTTTGGATGATGTCCACCCGCTTTTCAGGCACGACACATTTGAGCATCTAAGTGTGCGTTGCACGTTTGACAGTGACTGTATCCGACCAGAAAAAGCTTTAAAGCGCTTTAGAGAATCAATATTCCCATGACTCTAGATCTTGAATCTTCAATCCAGTATGAGTCCCCCAAAACGCTTCAAGCGCTTCTTGATCTAAGATTTAAGAATCCCAGGACTCTAGATCTTGAATCTTGAATCCAGTTTGGGGCACTCAGAACGCTTCAAAGCGCTTTCATCCAGGTAGCGCATGGATTCTAGATTCAAGAACAAGAGTCCTGGGATTCTTGAATCTAGATCCAAAGTGCTCTATAGCGTTTTAAAGCGGCTTGGGGGACCCATACTGGATTGAAGATTCAAGATCTAGAGTGCTGGGAAGATATATACAGTCTTAGACTCAAAAGCCCTGTAAAGCGTTTGCCGTTTGGGTGTGCACACGGACTCGTGCGGGGTAGATGCAGTTAATAGAATTCTTTGAACAATGACACAGAAACCCAAGCCGATGCTTGGATATTGATCAAAGCACTGTAAATACGAGCGGTTTGCATGCATCCTAGCAGGTTTTGTGCAGAACAGATTTCGTTCAGGGAAATTAGTTGTTTTAGCAGACAGTGTGTCATTGATCGAGGCATATAAGATGTGAGCAGCTGTTTTGGTATTGGCCAAGGGTTTGAGCTGCCAGACGAAGGGGATTTGCAGATGAGTTGACATGAGAGATAAAAGATGCGTGGCAGATGATTTGGTATTGGCACAGGTTTGTAAGTTGACAGAGGAGAAGGATTTGCACATCAGTTGAGATGAAGCATTGAAGATGCGTAGATGAAGCAGAAGAGATATAGTGTTGGCCTTATGGTTGATACCCTTTGCTCCGGTACCAACACGGATATGCTTTGCAGGCAATTGAGTGAGGACAACATTAGTGGCGAAGACTTTAACAACACAATCTTGGTATGAAATATGCTAACATTTAACATACTGTGTGAGAGAGCATCATGATTTCTGTTCGAAAATAGATGTTTCATTATTGACTTTGAACACTTCAAGGAAATAGTGCATGACAGATTGTGGTTTAGACCCTGTGTACCGTTCCATTTTACCTAGCTTCTGTTACGGTGCGCCTAACTTTGCACTTCTGATGCTTTGTTCAAATTCACTTGCGTTTTTATGGTCCAACTATGTTGTATGAAATGACAGAAACAAGATCAGGAGGAGGAATGACACAGAACACTCTTTCTCAGAAAGTAGCAACAAATACTGTTCCTTTAGGTGGCAAAGTCTTAGTGAATTCTGCGCAAATCTGCCAACACTTGTGAAATGAGCCCACTTCTGACAACATCCGCAAAACATGACCTGACTTCGCTTACATAATAAGCAGGCGCAGGTTTTGAGCAGGGTTGAGTGTATGTATATATATATATACACTACTAGTATTTATGTAAAATAACTATAGGCCGATATAGCGCGTGCTTGCTGTCAACATTCCATTCAGGAGGATGCGACTGACGACACTGTGATCATTCAGATTGACACGGTCAAAGGGCCGGAGTCTGAGTATACTTGGATCGAGCACAACTCGTACTTGTTCCATGGTGAATCTTTATCATTCTGTTGGCTGCTTGCTTGCTGTGTGTTTGTGTTCGTTTATTTGTTTGTTTGTTTTGTTTGCTCGCTTGTTTGTTTGTGTTTGCTGGGCAGACTGCCTGCCTGACTGCCTGCCTGGTTGTCTCTGTGTTTGTTTCTGTGTTTGTTTGCCTATCTGTTTGCGTGTCTCTCTCGTTGTCGGTCTTTATCTGTCTGTGACTGTCTCTGTTTGTCTCTGTGTCGGTCTTTGTGTCCGTTTGTGTGCCTGCATCTGTGTGCCTGCCTGCCTGCCTGCCTGTCTGTCTGACTGTCTGTCTGACAGTTTGTTTGTGATCTACTTGCTGGATGTGTGGCCAATGTGTAATGGTTGGCCATGCTTGCGGGATTGTGGCTAGGCTTTCCTTTCCCCTAGGCGATTGCTTATAAACTTTGGGACCCAATCTGGACCTCCATTTTGCCTTAGGGAAAACTCCGGGCCTCCAGTGGCTGTGGGTCAAACACATGTGCCAAAATGGCACCTTGGTAAATGGGACCAAAGACTAAACATTGACTAAAACCTGCGTAGCCCGAAGTCGTTCATTTTGAGCAACAGCCCAGTGGTCTTCGTTTTGCTTCGGACTTCGCGTTTTGGGTGGACGGCAGGTGCTTCATTCATGAACTGATGCAGCTGCGGCCTGGAGAGTCGAAGCCCCGGGGCTCGCGTCCACATTGGATTGGTTTTGGGGCAATTTTTCCTCAAGTATCCCTTACTTCCATTTGGTGAATATATTTTTTTTCGTATTCCCTGTTGGTTTTAGAGGGAATCTGTCACTACTGGAAATATGTTCTTCCAGGGGACTCAAGCAGATGGAGGCCTGGGTTTGGCTTGGGGATTTGAACTTTGGGTTCTTGAGGGCAAATTGAAGACTTCGCAACCTCCAAAGCACCAATCCAAACCATCAATCTGGCGAATGGTTTGGTGAGTGTACCCGACATCATGTCCTACTGTACGTGACTTCAAATATTGACCGTTGCACATGTCCCTTGTGGATGCTTGGTTGATCAGAGTCCCTTGAAGGATAGCTTTGGACCGGTTGGAGCATCACTACCACATGATGCAGAGGATCCGAATCCTTGTCAAAGTGGTTTGGGATGTATGAACTATGAGCCTGTTGAAAAGGACAACCAAACAACGGGAAACAAACATGTGTGTTTCTCGAATGAGGCGAACCCTCAAATGGATTGGTTGCTTTTGGTTCCTCTTGAAAACCATCCAACAGCCCCCCCCCCCCCATAAGCCAATAACAATAAACCCTGATAAAGCCATTAAGGAGAAATCCTCTTGAGACAAGGCTGTGGTTGGCCGTGCTTTGCAGGGTTGATGTATTTTGGATTCAGTTCGGAATGGGGTGGACACTTGGTATGTTCACAGTTCGTTCTTGTAGGATGCCAAGTTGGGCCCTATGTTGATCAGTTTTGAAAGTAAGCTGTTAAGGTTTATGCTGTGTTGCTTGGATACATGCTTTGTGGGCATCGGCGCGAAAGGATGCGGGCGGCATGTTGAGCTATTTTGTCCAACACTCTATGTTGAATTGGGGGAGGGACATGAGGGACTCATCAAGTCCTCAATCACAAAACCACAGAGACTTGTGAACGTACTAGTTTGCCCTTGTTCGGTGCGGGTAACGATATGGTTTGACCGTGGCTCACACGGCCCAAACATCATCAAGGATATTTTTTGAGGTGTGTGAAGCTTTCGCTTCGAGGTTCTGGATGTTGAAGCAGCTGCCGAACAAGATCAATGGCACGGCGCGGTTAGCAAGAGCTGCCGCAAGCTATTGCTGCCAACTGGGTCTGTCTTTTTTTGAGGGTACCCTTTTTGGGTTTGGTTTCAAGGAAACCCACAAGGATGGTCACCATCTTGGAGGCGTCCTCTAAAAAAAGACACACCCAATGTTTAAGGGTTCTCAGAGTATATTTTTTTGGGGCAGTGTCCCTTTGACCTTGGGTACTTTGGAGGATGTCTTCCTATGGACCCAGGACACGTTCGATTGTTGCTCCTTGTTTCAATGAACGTGCGGGGGAAACACAGCAAACAGGCACCTGCACTTTTCTTCCCCACAATTTGTTCCCTTGTTTTTTTTTGTTTTTTTTTGGGGCTTCCTTGGTTTTCCACTAAACAGGCAAAACATGTTGTGTTTGCTGGGGTCCTAATTCCAGCCAAGTTTTGGCTTTGCACTTCGCAGGTTGTCAAGGAGACCATTGGCGACAGCGCGGCAACCGCTCGGGCCTCAGCCGAGCCTCGTGCAGAAGAATCGCCCAGAATTTCTACCAGCTGCAGGTAAAATGAGGTACATGCCGTATTCTCCGCGGGTTGACATGGCACCTGTGAACCGCCAATTTTTGGAGGAAGCACCTTTTCGGGGACTTGTTGGGTTCGATGGTATTTTGCAATCAGGCCATGGGTCAAATCCAAATCGTACCCCCAGTGAACATCCCAATCCAACCACTAAAAGAGGTTCTAAAATGGGTGGTGAATTCAGCTATCCCAAAATGGGATCCCATTGGTTTTGACCCACAGCCACATTTTGCAGGGGAGCTCATTATTATAGCTTCCAGGTGACTCTTGACTGGGGAGCTGTCGGAAGTTGATTCAATGCCCAGGACTTGGCGCAAGACCGACGGATTCTCGATTTCGACAGAGCAGAGACCTCGGGCTGTGCGCAGATCAACTTCAAATGGCCCAACAAAGGGGCGCTTCGAAACAAACCTGGAGTGATGTGTGGATATTGTTTGCCGACAGAATCGCTGCGACTCAGATTCATGTGGGTGTGTCTTTGCGCGTCTTTTTTGGGGGAGCCTCAAAATGGATGGCTTTGCTTTATATATCATTTTGAAACCCACAAAACCAGGGTAGCCTCAAGCAGACACATGTTGAACATCGGCTTGATCACGTCATGATCCTTTCTCGCCGAGTGCCTTCAGCACCTGTCGACGCGAAGCCGGGACCCCGAGAATTTGCCGCCGGTCGGACCTTGAGATGTCAACGGTTGCCGACGCTTTTTGTCGTCACTTGAGTGTTTCTCAGAATGGCGACCCCCTGTTGGTATTTACCCTCTCACCAATTGATCAACATGGAAAAGGGTCCCTTCAAAGGAACATGGTCTCCCAGGACCCTGTCAGGTTCCACTTCAATTGGTGGGAGGGTAAAGAGAAGCCAAAATGAAGCCATCCATTTTAGGCCAAGCAACCACATTGCGTTGTGCTTTGAAAGGCACGGCCCCCCGTATTCTTTTGCGGCCAAAAACCCGCCTCTCATTCCGTGGTCTAGGGATCATTGTGTGGTCTCTGTGTGCCTGGAGTTTCCATCACGGTGGGTTTAAGGCAAGGCCAAAAAGAGACCACCAGTTGTGAGGTTCCCCCAAACCCATAGATAAACCTTTGCAATTGGCAGACCCCAAAGACTGTCATTTGCAGGAATCCTTCCTTCCAGGTTGTTCTTCTTGGGGCTTGAGAAGGGGCATGATTGTGGAAAAGTATTGGTTTGGCGCTTGTCTTGGAGTGCTCGATGGAACCCCCAAAGGTCATAATGGAATCTACCACTCTGGTCACGCAGAAAAGAGCTCGGTTTCCTGCAACCATGTTGTCGCTCTCCAAAACTCAACGCCCAAGGCACAGCTGAGGATGCCAATGTCGAGCGGAGCCAACAGCATCAGAAAAATGGTGAGACTCGAGCTCGGTTGCTTCCTCAAAGTGAGCATTTTGATGCCTTCTCCACATTGTTCCCTTTAAACCACCATTGAGAGGGTAAATTTGGGGATGTTACGTTTATGGACTCCGTAGAAACGCAGCCCGTTTTGCTTTCGGGACCTGTTTCTTTCCGGGATGTGTTGCGATGCGCCGCAATGGCGTTCGGGGTCCGAAGCAAGCCCGACGAAATCCAGAAATTCCTTGGTTTGGGAATCCGTTCAGCCCAGCACATGGTCATTGAAGTAAGTTGTCTGAACAGGAGCATTCGTTCTCAATATATACAAAAATGACAGCCGTGCCCTGGTCCTGGAGTGACTGTGACCCTTATCGCTTTTTGTTTTTCCTCTTTCAGGGTATCTTGGGTAAGGCCGAATGGACCTGATAGATCCTACATGCAGGCCATGATTCGCTAGCTTGCGACGGCGTTGATCTACATCCGCACATGTCACCTGGGCTTTGGTCCATATCGAGTCAGAGGTGGTGGTTTGGAATGTATATATATATATATATATATATAAATACAGGAAGCTGTTGTGCTGAATGCCGCGGTGAGAGCACACGGTTTTTATTTGCAGAAGACTACAATAAAGGCCGGAGCACCCGCAAAGCGAGGGAGGGCTATGACATATATAGTTGGTTGAGATCGCAAACACATGCGGCATTGGAAAACGAGGTCAATGAGTCTCAACGGGCGCTGGGTTGGAGACCATTCAACCATGTAGCAAATAACGACTGTAGCTCACATTGCATGTCTTGTGGGTGTCTCCTGAAGTCAATCACTATCCCCAAGGGTTGCGGACAAATTTCGGCAAACCCGACAGGGGGGGTGGTGGCAGCCCCAACACCTCTATCGGCCATCTTGGACTACCCCGTTGCACAGGGTGTATAGTAAGGCCTATTGCCTATTGTCAACCACTATAACCTTCTTGGTAGAACCAACAGTCAATAGATGTTGGTCGCTGCTCATCTTTCGCTCCCTCAACTGTGGCTTCCGCTGCTGTGTGGTTCCAGAGCACCGCATCGTGTGCACAGGGGGCTGTAATCAGGACCTGGGTTTGAAATGCACCGGCGTTGCTGCCTAGAAGTGTGGCATATCTACGGCGGTTGACACCCCTTCAAACATGATTGGTGGCGATAGATCCCTGTGTGAATCATGTCCACTGGAGGGTTCTCCCGTAAAAACGAACATACCAAGATCTTTCCC